CCACCTTGTTCTGGAACACTGTGCCATTGGGACGCTCTCCATTCACTTGGATTGATACGCCCAGGGCATTAGGGCGCAAGAACAATTGGCTTCCCACCTGCTACACAATCATGCCCACCATCACCTTAAAAAAACTCAAAAAACAAAATTAAAATACGCCGCCCCGAGTGGCAAGATCGTTTCTACATGTGCAAGGGTGCAATGTAATATCCGATGAGAGCAACTTCCTTGGGATTGGATGCCTCACACTGGTTCAACAGTACTGGACTCACCTCTGTATGGTAAATGGCCATGACAGCCGTTAACGGCAATCTAGAAACTTGAGATAGTTTTAATACAATTAATGCATCAGTTATATATACTGTCCAAGCTCAGCAACCATGTCACTCTTGTAGTTGGTATTGACATTATCAATGAGTTGCTGCGGACTGAAATGTGAGGAAATACTGTCTTTCTGGGGAAAGACATTCAATAGCTCAGCGGCTCGACGTCCAAGACATTCAGTGATCACCTTTGGTACCACTTTGTAGGGTAATCGTGCAAGAGCTACTCTAACTCTTTCTTTCAGCGTTCAATTGTTTCGCTCAGCTGTAGGCTCGTGGTCTCCAGCTGCAGTCGGGTCAATAGTAACACCCATATCGTCTAGCATATCATCCGTCAGAGGAATGAATGCCCGATCACACTTGATTGTCTTGACTTGAAAGCCTGCCTTGTTGTAGCGGTGGAATATCTTATCCAATGCTTCAAATATAGCGTCAGTCTTCAGGTTCTGCACAGGAATACATGAGCGATAACGCACAGTGGTATCAATGCAGGTGAGAAACTTAGCATTCTCGATCTCCATGTGATCAATACAGACGGTAATAGACCGATTATGTTGATACAATTCCTCTGGTGGACTGAAGAAGTCGTCGTACGTCTTCTTTGAAGTTGGTGTTGTTGACTTGCCTTTCAATGTAGAGGCGTTTCTTCAGTGATAGGACAGTTCTTGATGAGACCAGATCGGATCGCATACTTCAGACTTTTGGTGCTTGGAGCATTGAGTATGTGCATCGCACTTCTCGCTTCCATTGCAGCCTTGACTTATCTTGGAGTGAATCCTTCCTTGTTCTTTCAAACCGTTGTCATCTTTGCAGTCATCCCGAGTCCAGCATATCCATTCTGTTTTGAAGAAAGTTCGAAATGTGGTTGTTTATTTACGCTGCTTAACTGGCGACGATACATTGCACTTGTCTCTTTGGCACCTGGTTCGACATCCGCTCCAAGTTGCTCCAGCACATATACACCCTTACGATTCACAAATCGCATCTGTCTGTCTCCATCGCAATGCACAACAAAGGCATTGTCAAAATCAGTATCCATGGTAATGCGGTATCCCTCAGCAATCATCTCGCGCATAGCAAGTACATTGGCAATTCCGTCTTCATCATAATAGACTGGAGGCGGAAATCTTCCTAGAAACCCTTCTTCATCGAGAACTCTGCTGCCCACATTAGTGTGCATATCGAGCTCTTTCTCAGCTTGACGTAGTCCATGCATGAGTTCACCATTACAAACGGTGGTGTTGGTGCAACCACTGTCCATGATGACGTGATTGAGCAAACCAAACGGATCTCTTTCGATTCTGCGGCTTTGAATAAACTGCATACCTCGATCTGCTTCAGTAGCAAGATC